CTACAGGGTTGGGTTTGGGTTGGGTTTTTTTTTCCATTTTAAATTTTATGCTCTATTTTTTTGCTCAGCAATAAGCAGTAAGTTTTTTTAGCCACACTAACGGCAAAACACTATAAAAGTAAAAACTTATTTACATTCTCCCTACCAGGCAAATATTGTACAAAGACTTTTTCTCCATTAAAACATTCAGGAGTCATAGAATATATGACTTCTCAGCCGTGGATTTCTCAACATGCGTTTCTGTTATGTCAACAACTCTCTCATTGTTGGAAACTTGTTTATAGTAGAATCAAACACTGCCAAATATTCATCTTTAACTGCTAATGGATTAAAGGGAAACTGCGCTTGGAAAACACAAAGCATGGAACAAATGATTTTATGAAGAAATAAGTCAACCGTGTAATGTTTCCATAAAACACAACCTCGGAGAGTTACAGTACAAGAAGGGCTTCAAACAACACTAACACAACGTTTTGTTGGGGTTTTCTGGAACACGTCACAGATTGCAATGATGCCAATAGAGAACTTTGTCCTCTATAAACACAGATGCATTAAGCAGCAATCTTTTTATTACACTTCTACTGCTTGAGTGTATATCTATACAATTTCTAATACTTCATCATCTTGAAAGCCGGGAGTTTAATCACCACCTTTAAACACTCCCCTCCATTCTACAGCTAGAGAAAATATTTATCTCAAATCCCACTAATTTGGGCCTTCTGAAAGTTCTTTTCAATTCATGCCAAATTTGAGTCAATTATTAAAAAGCACTGATTACTGTATAAAGCCTATACCATTTTCTTCAACATTTCTTCAAAGGAAACTTTTCAAAAATGACATTTTATTTTAAAAGCTATCAGCAAAGAGACTGGAAAAGACGACTCCGCGATCACGCATCACATCACAGCCCTGCTATCAAGAGGGGCAGAGCCTACAAAATAAATCGGTGGGGTTTTAATTATGCAAATTGTTATAAGAGACTCAAGGGTTTGCATGCATTTTCATCGTAACGCAGTCAAGGGAGAAGTTAATGGCACGTTCTCAGGGTGTGCAGTCAAGCAGGCTCGTATGCTTCTTGATGGAAAGGACGAGGCTTTTAAGTCCTAAAGAAAGCAGCCTGTTGAGAATCTTTTTATTTTATTTTACTTTTTAAACAGGAAGTGTGAAAAGGTGGAGAACGTAATACTCCTGGGTAAGTTCTAACTTCTGCTTCTCATCCATATTTAACTCTGGTCTTAGATTTTGTTAGAAACGTAGCTAAAAAAGGCTGCAAAATTCATATTTCATCTGATCTACAGCCAGCAGAGAAAGGAAGCGTGCCAGCCTTGTGGGGAAAAAAATATCTATTCAATATTTACACAAAAAGGAGGACACAGAAGCTGACATGCACCCCAACAGCTCTTAGATTGCGGATCTCTGAACACAGTTCTGCTCCTGGCAGCAACAGCCCTGAGCAGTCAGCAGCCTGGGCCCAGCAGTCCCATGGCTTCTCCTTTTCTTTTTTTTGTAAAACCGGCGTTACTGCATGCGTAAAAGACTTATTACTGTTAGATCCAGGTTTATTTTTGTGACACTGAAAAGCTACTGTTAATTCAGAAATTGTATTCTTGGTTTCCTTATGGAGATCTTAAAGAACATACCACTGACATTAGGTTCCTGCTATTAAACATAACTCTTAACCTGCAGGTTCCCGGCTGGCAGCGGCGATGCCGTGCCGCAGCCGGGTCCCCGGACTCACGCAGGTGGGGGAGTGTTACCCCCTTCCCCGCAGCGCTCCCGGCCCTGTCACTTGGCGAACAGTTCCCGGAGAGGCAGGAAATTCAGGACTTACAGCTTCCTAGACACACCTGACTCCTGCAAATTTAATGCCTAAACCAGTGTTTAACATCAAGCTAAAAATAGCCACGTTCGCAACCCTCAAAAGCCACTGGCGGAGCAGTACCTTGGCTGAACTCTCCCCGTTCCTTTGGTACCGGTTACGCTCCTGGATTTTCTCGGCGACCTCCTGGGCGACCTGGCAAGCGGCGTCGTAGAGCGGGAGCCTGGGGAGGAGAAGGCGCAGCTGAGCCCCCCCCGCCCCTCCGCCGGCCGGGGACCCTCTGCCCCCCCGCGGGACCCGCCACTGCCGCCCGTAAA